GGTGGTAATATTCAAGCTTTGACCCAGCAGAGAAATGTCCAAGTCTGATCATTTGATAGATGTCAGGCACTGTTCTGAGTGCTTGTCTCATAGAATCCTCATAACTCCAAGAAGCAGGTACTTTTATTTTCCCTCAAATTACAGATGAGAAAATCAAGCACAGAAAGGCCAAGTAAATAGTCCAAGGTCACAGCGCTAGTAAGTGACAGAGTCACGATCCACACTGTACTTTCCACTATATTGCATGTGTATTGTGTGTACCAGAAAACACTTGCAAAGGTGTTCACTGCTGCATTGTCTGGATAGCAAAACACTGTTAACCAAACAGTCCATTAGTGTGACAATAAAACAGGAGGGAGAACTGCAGAGCAGCTAAAAGCATTTATGAAAAATAGAAGTGGTGAACCTAGAGAGATCTCAAAAACAAATATTGAGACAAAGCAAGTAAATCTAAAACACAGAAAGCAAAACTATATTATACATGAAAACCAGTACACATAGGAAAACTATATATATAAAAACAAATACACGGAATTTATGACAGTGTTTGTCTCAGGGCAGAGGGAAATGGGATTAGGGAAACAAGGCAATGGTTTTTATCTGCACTTTTTTTTTTGTTGTTGTTGTTGTTTTTTGTTTTTTTTTTTTGAGACAGAGTCTTGCTGTCACCCAGGCTGGAATGCAGTGGCGCAATCTTGGCTCACTGTAACCTCCGCCTCCCAGGTTCAAGCGATTCTTGTGCCTTAGCCTCCCTAATGGCTGGGATTACAGGTGCCTGCCACCATGCTCAGCTAATATTTGTATTTTTAATAGAGACAGGGTTTCATCATGCTGGCCAGGCTGGTCTTGAACTCCTAACTTCAGAAGGTCCACCTGCCTTGGCCTCCCAAAGTGCTGGGATTACAGGCGTGAGCGACTGTGCCTGGCCTGCTCTATTTTTTGCTTTGTTTTAGAGACAAGGTCACTCAGGCTGGAATGCAGTGGTGTGATCATAGCTCTCTGCAGCCTTGGACACCTGGGCTCAGGCGATCCTCTTACCTCAGCCTCCCAAGTAGCTAGGACTATCAGCATGCGCCCCCATGCCCAACGACTTTTAACTTTTAGAGATGGGGGTCTTGCTATGTTGTCGAGGCTGGTCTCCATCTCCTGGCCTCAAGCGATCCTCTAACCTTGACTTCCCAAAGCATTGAGTTCAAGGTGTGAACCAAAGCCTGACCTATAACAATCTACTTATTTTATATCTATTTCTTAAGGAAAACAGAAAAAAAAAAAACCCTCAAATCTGAACCCAAAATATCTGTTTATTTATTTGAGACAGGGTCTCATTCTGTTGCCGAGGCTGGAGTGCAGTGGTGCAATCTTGGCTCACTACAACCTCCACCTCCCAGGCTCAAGTGATCCTCCCTCAGCCTCCCGAGTAGCTGGGACCACAGGTGTGTGCCACCACACCTGGCTAATCTTTTGTATTTTTGGTGGAGATGGGGTTTTGCCATGTTGCCCAGGCTGGTCTCAAACTCTTGAGCTCAAATGATCCGCCCGCCTCAGCCTCCCAAAATGCTGGGATTACAGGCGTGAGCCACCGCGCCTGGCCATCGTTCTATGATTGGACCCTCACAAATGCATTACTGAACCTGACAATTATTATTGTCATGGAAACATACAAGCCTTTTGCTCATTCCGGGGTCTCTCCCCAGAGATTCTCTCTCTAGTTCCCTCAGATAGTATAAATAACTGAAGTGGATCAGTAGGTTAGACTCCCAGCAGAAGCACATCGCTGCTTAACTTTTAGGTCCCTGCTGCTAGAAGGGAGTGGGGAAGGAAGGAAAAGTTACTTCTACCTTTTACTTAGCATTGAGTGATTTAACAGAGCTCCAAACAATTTATTGCTTCTTTAAACATAGACATTTCAATTATTCTCTATGTTGTTTCTTTTTTTTTTTTTTTTTTTTT